TTGTTTATTTTAATCATTTATATAAATATTTCAATTATTTCATTTTCATTTATTATGATAATTCAAATAATATAATATTTTCTTATTACATAATTTACTTATTAAATTATTTTATTATTAATATTTGATTGTTATAAAATATTCTTTATGAAATAACATTCAACACTTATTCATAAACAAAATATAAATAAATATAAATAATAAATATTTTATTTATAAATCAATGAGATAAAATAAGTAAATAACAATAAGATAAAAATATGATAAAATAATTAAATTAATTATTATATCTAATAAATAAATGTATAGATTATGATATTTTATTCTTCGTTTCAATAATTAAAACAACAATAATAATAACATTAATAAAAATAATAATCAACATAATAAAAAATATATAAATAATTCTATTTAATTATAATTAATTAATATCTCATATAATTCATAATTATAACTATTATTCAATATCATTTTAACTATTTTTAATTATGTAAATATCTATTATTCATTTTTATTCATTTATACATTAAGTTCTTTCATTAGAATTATTAAAGATAATATTATCTTGAATATTGAACAAAATATTATTTTCATATTCTTGTTATTATTGCTTCATTTCTTTATTTAAAATTATAATAAAAGTTGTTAAGATTTATTATTAAATTAAATTATTGTATCAATTTATTTATCATTCTATTCTGATGTTGTTTATTTATTGAAAATAAATAAAATAATTTGTATTATATTCATTCATTATTTAAATGTATACTTGTTTCTTTCTTTAATCTTATCATTAAATATCAACCATTTTTAATTTTTCTTTTTGATTCAAATTTTCTTTGCTTTCAGTGTTTTGTATTTAAACTTAAAAAGAATAGAAAATATCATCAATATTTACTTTCATTTTGTTTTTTGTTGTAAATATTATCGATTTCAACACATGTACTGCTATTAACAATAGACAATTCACAACAATTTAACAACTTAGAAGAATATCCATCTTCAATATAAATAGTAGATTTGTTGTTGATTTCAATAGAATATATTCATTTAAATTATCTACAGATATTTTGTTTGCTGACAGATAAATGATGAATATATTAATATTCTTAAATAAAAAAGAAGTAATGAAGAGGGGACTAAAATAAACAAAGAAATTATACATATAAATAAAAATTATAAAAATAAAAAAGAATAAAATAAATTGCATAAATAAAATAATGTTAAATAATTTGCATCAATAAATTAAACACTTTTTATTTCATATTTCTAATTTCTATAATAAAAAATGCATCCTTTATTTCATCATTATTTTCATCATTTATTTTCTCATTTTGAATTATTCATTTTTATCTTCTTTCATTTTATATTCTCAACATTCTACTTTTATTCTTTTCATCTTCTTCTACTTCATAATTTCACTTTTTTCTTTCATATCCTTCTTTTTCATCATTTCTATTCATTTTTCTCTTATTTCCTTTTTTCGTCTCATACTTACAATAAAAAAATAAAATAAAACAATAATAAGAATGAAATAAAAGTAAAATAATCAAAATACATTGAAATATTCAATTTATTTATTTTTAATTTCAGATTCATTAAATAGATTAAATTTTCATCATTTTATTCTTTTAATTTTATTCAATCTATTTTCTTCGAATCTTATTTCTTTTTCTTTTCTTCTTTCTTTTATTTTATTCATTATATAAATCAATGAATCAACATAAAATAAATAGAAATGTCATTTCATTTATTTTATAATACCATCAATGTTTAACAGATTGTATTATCAATTATACAATTTATAAAAATGATTAAATTAATAAAATGTATCATTTTCAACAATGAATTATTATCATTTATCTTGTATATCTAAATTAGAGTATATACTTTATGTTAGTTAATCATTAAATTTCATTG